CAATATCTTTGTTGGTATGTGGTGCTGAGGATCGAACCCCGGGCCGCACGCATGCCAGGCGAGCGCGCTACCGCTTGAGCCACATCCCCAGCCCCTGAGCCTTAGTTTCTAATGATGTCTTTCCTAACTACTTGGTGTTGTGAGATCAAATTACATATTTTAAAGTAATAAGTAATCACAGGCTATTATTTTAAGAATGATAAACAAGCCTTTCCTTGATCCCTAAGAGCTTCCAATCTCCCCAATATGCAGAATCTTCCCTCAATCCCTGAATGTCACCACAAAGTGCAGGGGTAGCCAGGTGTGATGGCACATATCTGTAATCCCAGGAGCATGATCAGCTCAGGCTAGCTTTGGCAATTTAGTGAGACCCTATCTCAAAATTAAAAAAAATAAAAAGGACTGGGGATGTAGCTCAGTAGTAAAGTGCCCCTGTTTCAGAATCAGGGAGGAGACAGGCATCCTGATCCTCCATGAGTGAAGTCAAAATTAGAGACAATCTTTCAACCTCCATCTTAAAATTTAATCTTCTACATAGGATCTCTGTAAAGTGCCAGTCCAAACTATCTTTGCACGCTGTCAGGGTCACGATACCTTCCACCTTTCAAGGGACTCTTTACACATTTGGATTGTCCTGATCCTTACTGTGTCCTTTATAATATAAGATTGAAAGGTTTCTCCCTGTAGTTTGAACTCACTGATCTGGTTGTTCCTCTTGGAGCCCAAAAAACTAGACCAAACTTACATTCACATGATAGTCCTTCAAGCCAAATAATAGCACACGTCTGTTACATCCTTACCTTGTCTCTTCTCCTGATTGAATTCCCTTTTTCCTTCAACCATTTGCCATGTGATCTGGCTCTGAATCTTTTCAAATCCTGATTACTCCTTAAGACTCTATTCTGTAGACGTGGGATGAAGGGAGTAGAGTAGAACCAACTACTTTCTTATTCTAGGGACTTTAAAGTAGCTTAAGATTGTATTGCTTTTTTTTCTCTTTTGGCAAAAGGGAACTTCTGCTAGATTATTTTCTGCTAAAATATTTAATTCTTTTTTTTTTCATGGTACTGCTAGCCAAGTTACATTCATCTTCCTTGTTTTGAACTTGTTCAGGTAATTTTTGAACCCAAGTAAATAATCCAGTGTTAATCCTTTTTGTTACTTTGGCTCACTCATCTGGCTCCTTTGAGATCCTAATTCTTCCCAGCCCTTGTATTTGTAATCCATCCCAGCTTTATGTCATCCACATAATTGATAGCCATGGTGTTCTCTGGTTTTGAATGAAATTAGTCTTTAGAACATGAATAGGCCAAGACAAAAGATAAAGCACTCTGGTACATTAATAGAAAGCTAATTCTAGGCCATGATGGTCCACTCACCAGTACAACTAATTTTCTACTTTTAAGTCACCTAATGGGATTATCCTTCTTTCATTTATTTCTCTTCATCCTCCAGGATAAGACATATGATAGATCTGGTGAAAAAAATCTTGCTGAAGCTTAAGTACACTTAATTGAATTTCTCTGATTAGTCAATTTAACAACCTTATCATTTAAGGAAATTAAGTTATTTTGATGCAACTTGTTTTTTGTAGACTTACACTGAGTCTTATTGATAACTTTCTTTCTCCCATCCTGCTTAGAATCTTAAAATTTTATTCAAGAATCTTGCCTAGGATCATTATCTTACCTATTTGTCTATGGTTGGCAAAGCATACCTCATTTTTCTTCTTGAAAATTAAAATCATGGACTGGGGTTGTGGCTTAGCGGTTCAGCACTCGCCTAGTATGTAGTTCGATCCTCAGCACCTGGGTTCGATCCTCAGCACCATATAAAAATAAATAATATAAAGATATTGTGTCCAACTACAACTAAAAAATAAATATTAAAAAAAAGAAAATCAAAATCATGTTAACCCATCTCTAACTCTCTGGAAATTCCTCTGTTCTCCAATATTCCTCAGAGTCTCTTATGGAGGTTTTAAAACTTCTTTTCAAGAGTTCAAGGATCAATCAAATAAGATTTACGTTGAACTCTAAAATGGAACCTATGCATAGGCATTATGGTGGGGTTTATTATTGTTACCACCACTGAGTACTAAATAGGATTGTCTTTGGGCCCTAAATGGGAATTCTCCAAACTTCAGAGTTGTAGAGTTTTTCGTTTGTTTGTTTGGTGTTGTTTTGTTTTTTGCTTCAAAGTAGCCAAAGACATTGGGCAGTAAATAGCATTCAAGTCTAGTTGAGTAGTATTCTTAGGTAAATAAAATTCCAAATGGACTGTGGACTGGTAAATGGGCATTCTAGCTGCCTCTGAACATTCACAATATTCTCATCCATTGGTGATCTCCATTTCAAGTGTTTACCTGGATGGGAATATGAATGGACCAAACTAATTTAGAATTTTCCAGTGGCAAGGAAGGGGAGAAATGTGAAGAATGATAAAATGCAACAGCTCAGGCTTTTGAAATGAAGAATGATGACCCTCTACGATCTCCAGAAAGGGTCAAACTCCCTAGAGATCACTCTACTCCTTCCCAGAAGATCCGGTTCATCAAATCCAGAGTCCATGGGCTTAGTGATTGAATTTTTGTCTGCTGGAAAAGTACAAATTATTCCTTGGGCAGGGATGCCAGGGACCTTGTGAAATAAATTGTCTCCTATTTCAGATCTTTGTTTCACTTTCTATTATCAGGGAAAATAGCAATCCTGAATTTGATCCTGTGCAGACATAGCCACTAATATGCCCTTGTAACTCTCCTGCTTCACTCAGTCAAGACAATTTTGCTACCTACGTTCTGGCCTTCCTACCAATTTTTGGGGTAATGTTCCAAGGATACCAAGAAGCTTCAATATGTTATTTCTCTTGTATCACTGCTTTTTGCTCAAGTCCTGTCTGTGCTCTTTCTGAGACAACTGAGACCTAACAACTGAGACCCTAACCCAGACCTGATTTCCCCAGATGATGCAAACATATGATGATAATAATAAATGAAATGGGCTGGATGCTTGAAGAGCATCTTGGAGGGCAGAAGAATGGCAGTTTCTGCTATTTCCTTACTCAGATGAGTATCTTAGTATCCTAAATGGTTATTAACTTGGAACTAGGAGAGAGAATGGAGAAACTAAGGGCATATGTGTATGTTACGAGGGATTGGCCTAGAAGGATTTCAATGGAATAGCCTTTCTTGCCTTACAATAGATATTTGTGAGGATGGGTTAGGATCCTATTTCAAAATTATATACTTGCTTAGAACTGGTTTTGTGATGAATGGAGATTAGTAGAGCCTTCATTAGTCTTTCCCTACTTTCAAGGAACCATGAATTTACTACTCTTTATTTTCTACCTCGTATTTAAAAATTACAAATATCAGATTGTATTGCAATTATTTGCTTACTGAACTTGTATCTTCCTCTCTAGACTTCAAATTCTTAGAGAGCAAGGGTGATTCTATTTACACCTTTGGTCATCAGCACCTTGCACAATGGCTGCAATATACCAAGTGCTTAATAAATATTTGCTAATAAAAGAACAAATAAGTAGGGCCAAAATGAATGTTAATGCCTCATTCTTATCATGTGATATCTAGGAGTTGGCTGGATTTCTACAATAACCTTTCTGCTGTCTTGTCCCCTCCAGATGACATCAGTTGCCAAGGTGTATTACAGCCAGACCACTCAGACAGAAAGCCGGCCCCTAGTGGGCCCACCGATACGACGGCGGAGAGTCCTCACGAAAGATGGCCGCAGCAATGTGAGAATGGAACACATTGCTGACAAGCGCTTCCTCTACCTCAAGGACTTATGGACAACCTTTATCGACATGCAGTGGCGCTACAAGCTCCTGCTCTTCTCTGCAACCTTTGCAGGCACCTGGTTCCTCTTTGGTGTTGTGTGGTATCTGGTGGCTGTGGCCCATGGGGACCTGCTGGAGCTGGGCCCCCCTGCCAACCACACCCCTTGTGTGGTACAGGTGCACACACTCACTGGAGCCTTCCTCTTCTCCCTTGAATCCCAGACCACTATTGGCTATGGCTTCCGCTACATCAGTGAGGAGTGCCCACTGGCCATCGTGCTTCTTATTGCCCAGCTGGTGCTCACCACCATCTTGGAAATCTTTATCACAGGTACTTTCCTGGCAAAGATTGCCCGGCCTAAGAAGCGTGCGGAGACCATCCGTTTCAGCCAGCATGCAGTTGTAGCCTCACACAATGGGAAGCCCTGCCTTATGATCCGGGTTGCCAATATGCGTAAGAGCCTTCTCATTGGCTGCCAGGTGACAGGAAAACTGCTTCAGACTCATCAAACGAAGGAGGGTGAGAACATTCGGCTCAATCAAGTCAATGTTACTTTCCAAGTAGACACAGCCTCGGACAGTCCCTTCCTCATTCTGCCCCTTACCTTCTACCATGTGGTAGATGAGACCAGTCCCTTGAAAGATCTCCCCCTTCGCAGTGGTGAAGGTGACTTTGAGCTGGTGCTGATCCTAAGTGGTACAGTGGAGTCCACAAGTGCCACCTGCCAGGTGCGCACTTCCTACCTGCCGGAGGAGATCCTTTGGGGCTATGAATTCACACCTGCCATCTCACTGTCGGCCAGTGGCAAATACATAGCTGACTTCAGCCTTTTTGACCAGGTTGTGAAAGTGGCCTCTCCTAGTGGCCTCCGTGACAGCGCTGTACGCTATGGAGATCCTGAAAAGCTCAAGTTGGAGGAGTCATTAAGGGAGCAAGCTGAGAAGGAGGGCAGTGCCCTAAGTGTGCGCATCAGCAATGTCTGAGGGCCTGTTTCCACCTTCCCAGCCCTCTGGCCTCTTTTCCTCTCTTTTGAAGCCCTGGGCAAGGGATACTACCTGGGGTCACTGGAGAGTTCCAGAAGCATCCATCCTCCATTCTCCCTTCTTTAACCCAGAGGCCTTTGGAAGTCTGAACCAACTGGAGTTCAAGTTTTCCTCCCTTTGTCTCCCCCACCTCCCCCTGCTTCTACCCCAATGCACACAACTCCCTTATGCCAGGATGGGTGAAGGAGAGGGAAGATTCGGCTGGAGTGGCTTAAAAGGCCTCAGCCATGCTTGGAGACTTACTTTAGAAGGAACATGTGGTTGGATGGATAGACTGTGCCTTCCTTCTGCCACCACAAGTGTTTGGTGACTCTCCATCTCCATTTCTATGTAGCCAGTTCCTTAAGGAAAGGTTTTCTCTAATGGTCACCTTGTAGTCTGTGCTCAGAAATACAGGAACCTGAAATCAGTATATCTTGGGGATTCTACCAACCCTTGTTGAAAGCAACTAAAATTTTTCATGATGTATCTAATTTTTCTTGGTAACTTCTGGTCATAACCTGGGTCCTTGGATACTACCATTTCCCCTTTTCTATTCTCAAGTGGACATTCTCAGGATAACCAGTTCTCTCATAGCTTCTGTCCCCCAGAGAATCAGTATTAACTGGAGAAACATATAGTCATGACCTACATACTTGCACCCATTCTGGATTCTAAATCTTCAGTTTTGGAGCTGTTGTCCAAAACTTTGAACGCATCCTCCAGGCAGCCCTGGGAAAATTTGTTTCCCTGTGTTCTCTGAATGGGAGGATCCTCGCCAGTATGTTCCCTCAAATAAGTCCAGTGCCCAAGCCTCATGAAAAGGTCTGAAAATGATACTTCAGATTGCACTGTACCTGGCTTCTCTTCTTCCTTTCCTATTTAGCCCAGACTCCTCTTCCTTTAACCCCAACCCTTTAGAGAAAGGAAGAGAAATGTGAGGACTTCCTTCTCTTAACACAGATGCTCAACTAAAAGTAGATCCTCAGGGTATAGATTCCCCAGGAAAGTTAAGCCAACCACATGGGATGGGCAACTTCTCCGATTTCTAGACTGCTCTACAGAGCCTCTGGGTATTGGTGATGCTTTTGTTAAGGTTTGTGCAGAAGCAGAATTCTCTGGCTAGCAACCACTATTTTGTTACACCTCCTGGTATCTTTCTGAAAAATGACAGTTATTTCACCAGGCAGTACTGGGAGGGGAGGAAATTATACCTCCAGATCAAATACCCATGATCTCCTTTAGCTACTCTGAGATTTGGTATAAAATCATGAAAATCAGTATAATTTCTACTCTCCTCTACCATGGGGCCTGTTTCAGGCAAGTTAAAAAGCCTCTTTAGGAGATGATTCAGGCAATCCCTTGTTCCCTAGTGGGGAGTATGGCAAACGTCCTGGAAGGGCATATAGACACCAAAATTTCTGTAATGTCCCAAATCCTATGCATGTTTTCTGGTTTCATTTATGTATGAAGGAACCCCTTCAAAGTTGTTTGGCATAGAATCCCTGTATGAATCAAGTGGCAGTTTATTTAAGATGAACTTGACCAACTGTTATAAGCCACACACTTATACCAAGTGTATACATGCTTCTCTGTGCAGATTTCTCCTTGCAGAAAATCTCACTCAGTTTCAAGGCTGGACCTATTCAACTGGCATATTCCTCTCATACTGATCTCTCCTTGAACTCAACTAACTTTATCTTGAAAATGAAGACCCTTGAGTCTCCACTTACTGTAAACCACACCATTACTCTCCAGCCCTCATATAAACAAGAACCAGAAAAACTTGAAAATCTGAAACAAAGAACAGAAGGCAAGGAGCCAGCTTCTGTGCTCTCAACATTATTCAACATTAAACTTATCTGATTTCTTTCAACATATAAGGACAAAATGTACTGCAGTGTGTGTGTGTGTGTGTGTTCTTATCTATTTGTTCCCCAACTGGTTTCTTCTGTGCACTGCTGCTTTCCTTCTGAAGGAAGTATTCTCTTCCTGTTCCCCTGCTGTCTTATTCTGAGCCCCACTCTGGCTCTCAGATTCCTGGATAACAAGGTGCAAAGAGAACATTTTCTGATTTAATCTTTTTTGAACCTCCTCTGCTATCCCAGGCTTTGCTTTAAGTTGCACTTTAAATCATACTGTCCTATTAGTGTAATCTGGCATCTTCTTCGATAAGCCCGTTCTTCCCCAACAATTTATCCCACCCTCAACCCTAAATGGTTCTTTAGACTTCAGCCTGTCTCCTCTGTCCTGGAATCCTCTTTCAAGGCTTTAGGATAATCTTTGGAAGTAGCTGGGTGTGGTGAGAAATGGGCCCCATCTCCATCAGCCATAAACTTGGAATGTCAGCATAATAGCCATAAATGTTAAGGGGGAGATTTCAGAAGGTGGGTAAAAAACAACTGATGGGAAAGGATACTCAGGGTGTGAAGATAAGAAAGAATGGGGCTGAAGGACTTGGTGAAATCAATGAGACCCTTGAGACTTTCTTGGGATGGCAAACAAGGGATGGGTAGAGTCTTGGGGAATTAGGATATGATACATATGAAAGGTTTATCTAAGGAGAAAAAAAGAGATAATATATACAGAGAGATATGTATAAAGATGTATATATGCCCAAATATACAGAATGTACAGAAACTAAGTATTCAGAGAACTTAGAAAAGGGGGCAGATATTTTGCCTTGATTGTGGAGTATGACACCCAAAATTTTAGACTTACAGTGACCCTGGTTTCAACATGGAAATAAGATGGTTGATGGATTTCAGATTTGGTGCTGAGAAACAGAGATGAAAGCTTCTTTTCAGAAATAAGGAGGCAGACATTGATGGTTTTGATGAGCTCTTGCTACTGATAGGACCAGGAAGAGGGGGGATAGAAGGAAATGGGTGGGGGAGATACTCTATCCATGCAAATCTAGGAAAATCTACTACTTAAACTATGTACCCCCATCCCTAGCAGAATTCTGCTATTGTAGCACCTTTTTAAATAATGAATAAACAAATAAATAACGCACACAGGCTTCTTTTCCATTGTCCTCTCTCAAAGTAAGCTTTATTTTCCCTTCTTGCACAGGGATGGGAACAACTGCAGCTCCAGTCCCCAGAATTAACCTAAGCTGAAAACATTTGTATCTGGGAGGGACTAAAGGGAAGCCTCAACCCTAGAATCCAAATGCCAGGACTAAAGAGCTGATGGGCCCAAGATCCTCCCAAGGCAGAGACCCAGCCCTCTATATGGCTGCAAATCGCCTAAAGAGAGTGCCATCCAAGCCGGAAGCATCCTAGTCCTGGCACTGGTATGGATGGGGATATTTTGGCTTTTGAAGCTCCTGTATGAAACTGGGGGGGTGGGGCTATCATCTCGCTCTAGGGGATGGTACAGTTCCTTGAGAGGCTTCTGGAATCTCTACACTATGTTTCACCTCATTTACTCACCCCAGTCCCTGTACTCCGGTCAGCTAATAAGACCATCCAGGGATTTCCCTATGAGGTCTGAGCAGAGGAAGGAAGCCAGTCATACTATTGGCACAAGCCAGGGACACTGTACCCTCTCCAAGGCTGGTACCTTGGTTCTTTACCCCTCCTAGGTAACCTAGTTTATTTGAAAAATAACAAACTGCTTGTGCTGCAGTGAGTTGGGCCTCCAGACTTGGTCCATGGCCACTCTACCGAAGAAAAAGTATCTAGGGATGGTTTTTCCCATTTATTGTGTTAAAGAATAAGCAAGGTTGAATTTACATAGGGAAAAAAAGATGTACGAGAGAGTTTTGGTTTACTTATGACTGTTCAAAACAAGCTACTAAATAAATAGATAAATCTCTGGTCTTAACTCTAGCTTATTTTAGAAATCTAAACCCATACTGTTATGAAAGCCTCGAAGAGGAGGAATGAATTAGATGTGATAGAATTTCTGACCATGTAGCCAGTCCTCTTCTGTTGAATTTCTCTGATTAGTGACATCATTTCTTCACTCCTTCTATGCACACTCCCTTATGAACTTTAGGATCCTTTAGCAAATACCTTTTAAATTTGGTTTTAAAGGAAGAGATTTAGCTGAAGATGTTGCTCAATGGTAGAATTTGTGAGGCCTTGGGTTCAAAACATACAAACCAAAAGCATAAAGGATAAGATTAAAAAAAAAAAAAAAAGTAAGATCCAGAAATCTGAACATTGGCTCAGCTTAATCCAGGAAGTCAAGTTGCTCTGAATCCCTTCCAGCAGTGACCATGAGTCCAATTTTCCTTCCATGTTACTATGTCGACTTGTTGGCTGGTTTTCCTTATATATCCTCAAGGCTCTATAAGGCAATTCCTTAATCATCAGGCATTTCTTACCCCAAATCTCAAAGAAATGGATTTCTCTTCTACTTATCTATCACTTGCTTGAGAAAGGCTCGGTTGTCATTATCCAGCCCTGAATTTTCTCTGATGAGAAGCAACAGATTCTATAGTCACTGACTCTTATTCCTTTTGGAGGGATAGTAGTGATAAAGGAGGGACAAATTAAATTTTTTATTATCCTTAAAAAATCCACAGCATTTAGAAAACACCAGGGGATTAAGACCTATGAAATATATAAGTATATATAAAATATAGTTCCTTAAAGTCTATAGTTCCTACAAACTTGAGGAAGGAGAAAGAAAATAATGAGTAGTATAAAACAAATATAAATAACAAGGTCAATAACAAATAGCATATGCTAATGCTAGGTATAGAATTAACATCTAAAAAGAATAAGATTTCTGTGGAAAACATTGACAGGGACAGACTCTAGGCAAGAACTGTTATCAGTCTAAGAGGTCTGATTTTCCTTTTTGCTTCTCTGCCCTGATGTTACACACCAGAGGGCCCACATCAGGGGGCCCTCACCAGAGGCCAAATACTTAGGCTTCCTGATCTTGAATTTTCAGCCTCTAATACTATGAGGTAAATAGACCTCTTTCTTAAAGAAAAAAAAAAAGAAAGAAAAATATACCAATATGTATTTTAGCCATTTATTTCTTTAATATTAATATCAAACACTTGTTAAATAAGTGGCTAAAACATTTGAAGCATATTTAAAAGACTGTCTGTGGTGAGAGGACTTCTGTAAATGTGTTTGTTCATCAGTACTACTCAACATGTAAAGAAGCTGTGTGAACAAAATAAAGTTTAATAAAGCTAACAAGTTTTGAAGCACAAAAAAAAAACAACAACAAGAAGTCTGGTTAGGACACATTTGACATAAGATTCAAGAAAAGTCAGCAAATACAGAGTTCCTAATGTGTGGACAGTACCATCTGACTAACAAAGAAGTATAAAACATGATTCATGCCATCAAGAGGTAGAGGGTGGGTTACAGTGGCACATGCCTGTAATCCTAATGGCTTGGGAGGCTAAGGCAGGAGGATTTCGAGTTCAAAGCCAACCTCAGCAATTCAGCAAGACCCTAAGCAACTCAGTGAGATCCTGTCTCTAAATAAAAATATTAAAAAAGGGGCCGGGGGCCGGGAGCCGGGCACAGTGGTGCAAGCCTATAATCATAGCAGCTGAGACAGCAGGATTGAAAGTTCAAAGCCAGCCTCAGCAAAAGCGAGGTGCTAAGCAACTCAGTGAGACCCTGTCTCTAAATAAAAAATACAAAATAGGGCTGGGGAATGTGTCAGTGGTCTCTCAGTGGTCAAGTGCCCCTGAGTTCAATCCCCGGTACTTTAAAAATAAAGGTCAGGGGGAGGGGATTGGGGATATGGTTCAGTGGTTAAGCACCCCTAGGTTCAATCCCTAGTACAAAAAAAAAAGAAAAGAAAAACCAAACAGGAGATGTGTAGACTTATAGCTTTCCATCTGCTATTTCCTCTCAGGAACTCTCCATACTTCCTGCCAACTTCTGGACTTCTTCACTCTGGCGATGTCCATCTTATATCAAACGAATCTCACGAAAAGCTCCAGTACTAATGACAGCTGCCATTTTACATCACTTGTGGATTTATTCAGTCTATCTTATTCATTAGACTTTAAGTGACACATGGATGGGATTCCTGTCAAGTTTTTGTGGTCACCAGTATAGCTCAGAACCTTACACAGTGTTTGGCATGAAAGACACTCAATAAATATAGCAAGAAGGAATGAAAGAAAAGAGGACAAAGAACTTGTCTAAAATTCACATGGCTAGTACCCAGTGGAGTTGGTATGTCTTGTTAAAAAACCATAAAAGATTAAGATAACACATTTCACAAAGCATAACATCATTAACTGTTAAAAAATAGAAAAGACAATACACTGTTTGGGGGAGAAAGAGCCTATTTCTACTGGTTAAGGTTTAGGAAGAGTTTACAGAGGAGTAGAGGTTGTGTTTCACACTGAAGGATCAACAGCATTCAGGTAAGTGAACTGAAATAAGTTTCTCAGCAGACAGTACAGCACGAGCAGGAGGAAAACACCAGGCATGTTTAGGAGACAGTAAATTCAGAACACAGGGCTTTATAGGTGAATAAGTTGAAAAGTAAGATAAGCCTGATAATGGAAGGATTAAATGTCAAGTTGAAGCATTTATTATTTTCCTCTGGACAGTTGGGAGCCACTGAAGAAGTCTGAGGGAAAAAAATCTAGTTGAGGGCTGGGGATGTGGCTCGAGCGGTAGCGCGCTCGCCTAGCATGCGTGTGGCCCGGGTTCGATCCTCAGCAGCACCACACACCAACAAAGATGTTGTGTCCGCCGAGAACTAAGAAAAAATAAATAAATGTTAAAATTCTCTCTCTCTCTCTCTGTCCCCCTCTCTCACTCTCTCTTTAAAAAAAAAAAAAGAAAAAAAAGAAAAAAATCTAGTTGAAATGCTTTTATGAATGTTAATCTGGCAGTAAAATTGAGACAGGAGACAGGATTCCATCCCTTTTTCATTTCCATAACTATTATCTATATCTCCCACCTTTGACTTCAGTGACACACTTTCTTTTGATTAACTGTGTTTCCATATCTGCCCAATTATGGTACCTCTTACCTTCTCTACTAAGTTAGCCACATGGGCAAAGACTGGCTGAGGCCTTTCTGTCAAACTACCTAAGCTAACCCAGCCAGAAGACCCCTAATTTAGTTAATCTTCAGACATCTCTCTCTATATTCTTCACCTTCTGGGACTCAGCCTCACTTATCTATAATTCATAGAAGAGAAGAATAAATCAAAGATAGAGTCATAGTGACAGAGAATATCAGGATAATTCAAACAAGAGCTTAATGAGAGGAAACAGAGAAGGAAATTGGGATTGTAATCAACATTGCAAGTCAGTCACACAGTGATAAAGATATTCTGGGTCAGATAGAACTGGTTGGAGTTCCAGCTCTGCTACTAGCTGTCTGTATGACTTAGGAAAATTACTTATCCTTCATAAGCCTTTATTTTCCTCATTTGTAAAGGTATGAATATCTACCTTACATGAAAAGTATTTACACAGGGGCTGGGGATGTGGCTCAAGTGGTAGTGCGCTGGCCTGGCATGCACGGGGCACTGGGTTCCATCCTCAGCACCACATAAAAATAAATAAAGATATTGTGTCCACCTCAAACAACAACAACAACAAAAAAAAATTAAAAAAAATTTTTTTTAAAGAAAAGTATTTACACAATGCCTGGTACACTGCAAAAAAGCCTTCAACAAATCCAGCTATTACAAATCATCATCATAATTATAATTATCTGAATGGTGATATGCTGCCACTGAATATGTGGCTAATGTACTGCAAGAAAAAAATGCATAGAAGTAATTATCGATCTAAGGCATACAATTATACCCAAGGCACATTAAAAGACACAAAGATAGCAGAATGTGAATATAGAACATAAAACATTAGCAAGGTTCATTCAAAGAATAAGTGTGACTCTCAAATGGATGAGTGAAGTAGTCCCAAGAGCTCCATGTTCAAAACAGATGGAGTCACCTCCTTTCTTTTAAACAGACTGGAAGACTTCCTCTAGGAAGCAGGCTCCATCTGTAAAATCAAGTCAGTTGGAATTTATTAAACACTGTGTGTGCATATGTGTGTGTGTGTGCATATGTGTGGTACTGGGGATAGAACCCAGGGCTTCACATGACTAGGTAAACATCGCATTGCTAAGCTACATCCCCAGCCTTTATTTTATTTTGAAATAGGATTCAGCTTGAGTTGCCCAGGCTGGCCCAAATTTGTGATTGTCCTTCCTCAGCCTCCCAGGTAGCTGGTGTATACCACATCAGACCAGACTTTTCTGAACATTTACCATGTGTCTAAGACTGCAATGAATTATCCTGATATTATCTGTCACTATGACTCTATCTTTGATTTATTATTTTCCTCTATGAATTATAGATAAGTGAGGAACTAAAATAAATTAAGGATAAGATAATGATTTCTACTCCAAAGACCCCTCTGATCTCACTGAAAGGGTAATAAATACAATCTAAAAGTATCAAATTCTGCAATGCAGACTACAATAGTGCAATATGTGACTGCAGAAGGGAAAAGGCTAATGGGCTGGAGTCCTTGGTGAGTCCTGGACATCAGGTTTGAGTGGGGTGGGTGAAGGGCAGACATTGACAAAGGTAAAAGATATCTGAAGGGGAAAACAGAGCTGAGAGCACTCCAGGAATGCCACTCTAGTAGTCTTCTAGGAGGAGGAATATCTAAATCAATTAACTGTTACTGAAATGACTAATTTGAAGTCAGGTGCTATGTTAGATGTTGAGGTACAGAAAAAAAAATCGTATAATTTCTGTTCTCAAGCAAATCAGAGTTCTGATGAAATCCAGAAGGAAACAGGTTTCCTAAGTAACAAGACAAATGCTGTAATAATAAAATAAACAGGGAGTTTCGGAGCACTGGAATGACAGATACTGGGCAGGATTTTTATCTATAGGGCAGTGCCTTCTCTGTGAATGAATTTTTTGGCGCTTAGAGGGCCTCTGTCCCAGTCCTTCTACTCTCAGACAGATCAAAGGATTGAGAGGACTGGTATCAAAATCATTCTAAGTGATGAGGAAGTGGACTGAGGGCTAGGATACCCCTCTAGGAGTGGATAACTGAGATGAAGCATAAAGGTTTGAGAGGGTGTTTGCCAGAGTGACTGGGGAGAAGGCGGCAACCTTGGTGGAAGGCATAGCAAACACAAAGGTACTGAGACACGAGGGTCTGACACAGTTTAGGAATCTCGGAGACTTCCCGGTCTCCTTTCCTATCCTCTGCACCTAGGGTTGCCTGATGAAATACGGACTGCTTACTGAAATCGGAACTTTAGATAGACAGCTAACAATTTTTAAATATTAAGTATTCCCCCAATACTGCATAGGTCATACCCATTCAGGTCTCATTCGACTCATCCTGGCCCGCTCTATGGGCCCACAGACCCCTAAAGGATACCGGAGAGCTGGGGAGGCACGGCACGAGAAACTAGCTCAGGTTTATTTTCCTTTCATTCCTACATTTTCACTCCTGGGGCTCCAGCCAGGCTTGAAGGACGAAGCTTGCGGCTGGCTTGGCGTCAGAGGTCCACGCTCTGCCGACTGGAGTCGGGAGCGAAGGAAGAGCGGTCAACTCGGCTCCGGCCAGTACAGCTTTCCTGGCGAGCAGAAGTAGCGCCACCCTACGACCGGAAATCCCGCCTCCGCCAGAGGAAGAAGCGCCAGCAAGACAGCCAATCCAGAGGAAGGCTGGGGAGACGGAGAGCCCGGCGCGGGGCTGGAGACCGGAAGTAGTACGAGGGCGGAGCTTTGCGCCGGAAGTATCCCTCTGTTGTTTCTGGTGGCGCCCTAGCTCGTGGGAGATGCGGCGGCCACCTTAGGCAAGGAACCTAAGCCGGGTTTGGAGAGATACGAACGCAGTTTGGAGCTGGGGCGCCGGGCGGCGCTCTCGGGAAGATCATGGGCTCCACTAAGCCCTGGGGAGAATGGTTCCTGAACCTGAGGGTGCCGCCCGCCGGAGTGTTCGGCGTGGCCTTCCTCGCCCGGGTCGCCCTGGTTTTCTATGGGGTCTTCCAGGACCGGACCTTGCTCTTGAGGTATACGGACGTAGACTACCACGTGTTCACCGATGCCGCGCGTTTCGTCACCCAAGGGCGCTCCCCTTATCTGAGGGCGACCTATCGTTACACCCCGTTGCTGGGTTGGCTCCTCACTCCCAACATCTACCTCAGCGAACTCTTTGGAAAGTTTCTCTTCATCAGCTGTGACCTCCTCACCGCTTTCCTCTTATACCGCCTTCTGCTTCTGAAGGGGCTGGGGCGCCGGCAGGCTTGTGGCTACTGTGTCTTTTGGCTTCTTAACCCCCTGCCGATGGCAGTGTCCAGCCGAGGCAATGCGGACTCCATTGTCGCCTCCCTGGTACTTATGGCCCTGTATCTAATAGAGAGAAGACTCATCGCAGGTGCTGCTGTGTTCTATGGTTTCGCGGTGCACATGAAGATGTATCCAGTGACCTATATCCTGCCCATAACTCTCCACTTACTGCCAGAACGCAACAACGATGAAGGCCATCGCGAATCCCGGTGTTCTTTCCGCTGTCGTTTGTACGAATTCTCGAAGAGGCTGTGTAGTCGGGCAGTGTTGCTCTTTGTAGCCGTAGCTGGGCTCACATTTTTTGCGCTGAGCTTCGGTTTCTACTATAAATATGGTTGGGAATTTTTGGAGCATACCTACCTTTATCATCTGACTAGGCGGGATATCCGTCATAACTTTTCTCCATACTTCTACATGCTGTATTTGACTGCAGAGAGCAAGTGGAGTTTTACCTTGGGAATTGCTGCATTCTTGCCACAGTTCATCTTGCTTTCAGCAGTGTCTTTCGCCTATTACAGAGACCTTGCCTTTTGTTGTTTCCTTCATACATCCATTTTTGTGACTTTTAACAAAGTCTGCACCTCCCAGTACTTTCTTTGGTATCTCTGTCTTCTGCCCCTTGTGATGCCACTTGTGAGGATACCCTGGAAAAGAGCTGTCCTCCTCCTGATGTTATGGTTTATAGGGCAAGCCTTATGGCTGGCTCCTGCGTATGTCCTTGAGTTTCAAGGAAAGAACACCTTTCTGTTTATTTGGTTAGCTGGCTTGTTCTTCCTTCTCATCAACTGTTGCATCCTGATTCAGATTATTTCCCATTACAAAGAGGAAAACTTGAGAGAGAGAATCAAATATGACTAATGTTTTTTCTAGATCTTCTGCCACTTAGGTTACATTGACTTTTCTGTATGGACCAGAAGAGAGCTTTGGAAACTTTTTTTGAACATTCTAAGCGCTCTAATGAAAGTTGCCTTGTTCCAACAGAAATTAAAACCAATGTTTGCCTTATATATAAAGAGGACTCGATAATTGAGGTCCACCCTGTAAAAAATCTTAGGAATTTTTACTTGAGCACACTGGGAAGTAAAGGTTACTTGTTTGAAAATGCAAAGGCTAATGAAACTTATCAGATGCTTAAAGTTCTTGTCATTAAGAGACATAAGGTCTAAGCCAGTATTTGTTTCAAGTTTATTGTGCCACTGTCTTAAGCTGTGTCTTATCTTCAGCACCCCACTTTTTCTTTATGAAGTTTTTCTGACTGCTGTGAAAACTACAGAGTATTCCTAAAGTGCAGGGTTTTTGTTGTTGTTGTTGTTTTTAAGATGTGAGGCATTAAATAGTACTACCGTGCTTAGTTGGGAAAGTTTTAAAGTTTCGTGTTAATTGTGGGGGTTTAGAAGATAAGTAACCCAACAAATTTTGTAATCATGTTTCATGTATTTGTTTTGTATAATTTAGTTATAATTTGTTTTATATCTTAGATTATTGTTTGGTTTTATACAAAAAGAATTAAATTTAAATTCACCCACCTTTAGACTTGAGTGATTACATTTTTTAAAAAACATCCTCTTGCTTTTGATGTTTAAGGTTCTTAAACATACAAACTATTAGGATATTTTAGTATACTCTTATCACTTTAACTAATTTTAACCTTTTGATTGCTAAAAAGACTTACCCAGATTTTAAGTTAAACTTTTGTTGGCTGTATTGTAAATATATATATATATAGTTAAATTGTTTTTTTTTTTTTTTTTTTGCTGAGGATTGAACCCAGGGCCTTGTGCATGCAAGGCAAGCACTCTACCAATTGAGCTATATCCCCAGCCAGTTAAATTGTTAATAAGGCATTCCCCAGCTTGAAAACACCCCACTTATGAAGTGTCCATATGGAAATGGAGAACTTTGAGGGAGACTCCTGCAGAGCCTAAGCTGCATCCCAAGGAACATCCTACTAGACCTGGAAGATCAGGAAAACAAGGCTTTGGAGGGCAGAGATGTCTCTCTTATCACTGTATTTCTGATGGAAAATGCTTTCTGAATTGTTGGAACAAGCATCCTAAATTTTTTTTCTAAAAAAGCCCATCTATGTTTGGGGCTTCCTAACATTCTAAAATGTTAGGAATATGAGTATGACTTAGTGATTATGATTTTAAAAGATGAGTAATTTAAAAATTGGGTTTTTTTATGTCAAACATTAAAAAAACCTGTAAACAAACAAAACCTCTAGAGAAGTAGTATTTTTATGTTAATTTGGGCATTAAGAAGTCTTTGAGAATTAAATGTCTATGAACTAGTCATTAAGAATTCCATTACCGTCAACATTTCTTTGGTGGATATCTTTTGGGACCTGGCATTAGAAAGAAGGAAAAAAATAGCTGTTCATGGCCTGCTGTGTGGATGAAAATAGCAGTCAATTGTTGAGGACAGTGACTTATATAACACCTAGTCCCATAACACATATTAGGATTTATCTTGAGGGCTCTTTGTATATGACTCTTTAACCAGTGGCCTTCCAACTATGGCTTTCTTGCCTATTTTAATTATTATTTTATACTAATAATTTTTAAAGTTATTATTTTGTAATAATAATAATAATTTTTTTTTATAGAATTGGAAAGGAAGAAATGGGAAATAGAATTCCCTGTCTCTTGCCTTTATTTGTATCCCTGGCTATTTTTTCTTTTTCTTTTTCTTTTTTATGGTAGCAGGGATTGAATCCAGGGGTGCTTAACTGTTGAGCCATATCCCCAGCCCTTTTTATGTTTTATTTTGAACCAGGGTTTCACTAAGTTGCTTAGGGCTTTGCAAAACTGCTGAGGCTGGCTTTGAGCTTGTGATCCTCCTGTCTCAGCCTTCCAAGTTGCTGGGATTACTGGCATGTGCCTCTGTGTCCTGCTCCCTGGCTATTTTTTAAAAGTTCACTTACTTCATTATTATTATTTGCTTTTTATATTTAGCATTGAAATTGCTAAATGATATCCTATCACATGGATGTTCACATTATAAATATGTCATTCTTCAACTGTTAGACCTTTGAGAGTACATCCAACTTTTAATATTCTAAAAAGAACTTTAAACATTTTTCATGTTTTAGGTCATTCTCTTAGGATATTGTTAGAAGTCCACAAATTTATGTTTGGATCTTCAACTCCAGATTCTCCCCTGCCAGAAATTTTTTATCAAATAAGTGCAGGTGTTCTTAAGAGATTCAGAGGGTATTTTACGTTTTATATGCTGCACAACAGTAAGTTAATTTGTAAAGTGATTAATTTTATCTTTGGGGGGATTTAGCTTTTTCATTTGCTTTCCAGTTTTTGTAAATCTCTTTATGGCTTTTTACTTGCAATCCCCCCCCTTTTTTAAAGCAACTTATATGTTTAAATTGTTGCATGTTAATTATACAGGATTGGGTTGGAGCTTTCATTGTGGCATGTTGTATATACATAAAAACATAATTATAGTAATCTTACGCCCCACTCCCTCACCTTTCCCTCTTCTCCCTGCCATTTGCAATTCTTTTGGTTTCCTTATTTATTTATTTATTTTTTTAAGGTGGACATGATATTTTTATTTTATTTTTATGTGGTGCTAAGGATTGAACCCAGTGTCTCATGCATGCCAGGCAAGCACTCTACCTCTGAGCCACAACCCCAGCCCTGGTTTCCTTATTAATCCTTCAATAATACCTTAAACTTATATGGCAATTTACCTTATTTCTTACATAATTATTTTTGTTCTTATTGCCCCCTCCAATCTAATGGGTATAGGAAGGAACTTGGATTTATGCAAAATAACTTTCTTAACTACCTGTTATTGTAAACTTAATGATTATGATTATGATTATTATTATCTTATAGTGCTGGGGATTGAACCCAGGTAGCAAGCACTCTGCCACTGAGCTATACCCTTAGCCCAGTTCTTTCTAATCTTGATCTGAGTCTTTGAAAAGATAATAAGTTCTTATATGTGAAGATTTACAGGCAGATTTCGGGTTCAGATAACTGGTTCAGGCGTGACATTTTTTGTGCTTGGATATTCTTGTCACATGTTAGCTGACTTTAAGGGGTGGAGGCTTGGCTTATATCCCTCCCCAGCACTTAAATTCTTCATTGTGTTGAGGGTTCATTCAAAGTTTACAGTGCTCTGTAGATGGAAGCACATGTCTTCTGCCTGGGTCAGAAGTATCACAATCACACAAGCATTTATTCAGCAATCCTCTAGGAGAAGCATTCATTTAGTCAAAACATTTGTATTCATTATCCCAAACAAAAACCAAATTAAATGGGACCATTTCTAGATATTCAGACATTCTGCTAATTGCTATGTATGCTATATAAAATGAAACGACACAGTGACTATTTAAAAGTAATTTGGAGGATGAATATTTGAAGTTCAGTTCATGTAACAAAGGAAAATTTTGGCTTCTTTTGCTCTCCATTCTTTTGGCAATTATTTATAGATGCTAGTCATGTGTCAAGTCCTGTAATAGACAAATCATGAGTTGGGGATGTAACTCAGTGGTAGCACTTGCCTAACTTGTGCAAGGCTTGGGGTTCAATCCCCAATACTTAGGGGGAAAAAAAGATGAAGTCCATGTTGTTGGCGATTTAGCAGTAAAATAAAATATTCCACTGATATATTATTGTATGAGACCCCATGAGTATACTGATTTGTAAAATGGGGATGAGTAGAAGATGTTACTATTCTTATTTTACAGATAAGATTGAGCTCAGAAACAAGTGACTTAAGTTGAAAGATTGGTTAGTAACAAGACCAATGCAGGACCCCAGGGCTTTTGATTCCAATTCTTGATTTTGCAAGTCATATCATTCTCCCCTACCCCCACAACAAGGGGTTGAACCTAGGGGTGCTTTACCACTGAACTACATTCCCACTCCTTTTTAAAAGTTTTTGTTTTGTGACAGGTTCTCACTGAATTGCTGAGGCTGGCCTTGAATTTGCAATCCTCCTATCTCAACTTCCCCAGTTGCTGGGATTATAGGTGTGTGCTACTGTGTCTAGCTGCAAGCTCTTTTTTTTTTTTGGTACCAGGAATTGAAGCCATTGTTATTTAGCCACATCCCCAGCCTTTTTCTTTTCTTTTTTTCTATTATGATGGCTGATTACATAGGAATACTTCTTTCTCCAGCAAATGTTATTGATTTACCAAACTACTAAACACAAGGCTCGGAGCATCTTCTCTGTGTCAGGCATTATTCTAGGCAAAGTAGATGTAGCTGTGAGCATCTGCAATACAGGATTCTGATGATTGTCACAAAGAAATGGCATGCTACAGAAACAGGGTGATGACAGGTGAGGGGAGTGAGTGCTATTTAAGATGAAGTGGTTTGGAGGATGTGTTAGTTTTTTTATCACTACAAGCAAATATTAGAACTAGGACCAAAACTCTAATATGGAGCCAAATTTATTATTCCCTTCTCTTCACTGCCCTTAACATTAAGCTATAGGTAGCCAAAGATGACACACTGGGCTCTAGAAGGTAGGGAAGACAGGAAAAACTCATTCATTTGTCTGGTAGGAGCCTACTTTGGGCCAGGTAGGCTGGGGATATAAAGATATTTAATACAACAGTCCTACCTCCAGAGGAGGTTGATGCTAAGGTGATACTAACTCAGTTATTAGAGGAAAATGGACATAACCAGAAAGTTGCAGAACCTGAAATTGCACAGGATAAGTACTGGAGACTTTGAAACTTCCCTCCTTGAAATTGCTCAGTGATTAATCATACCTTTGATAATTCTTAATTTAGACCAGGAGACCTTTTATCTTCTGGCTCTTCCTCTATTTCATATTCCTTCCAGGAATACCAAATTATACTATCTCTCTCTCACTCTTTTTTTTTTTTTTCCTTGTAGTGCTGGGGATTGAACCCAGGGCCTTATGCATGAGAGGCAGGCACTCTACTAACTGAGCTATATCCCCAGCCCTATCTCTTTGTGCTTTTGTGTCTGCTGTTCCTTTGGCTATAATATCCTTCTCCCCTTGTTTGCTTCACCAGCTCCTGTTTAGTTTAAGGATGACCTTTGTGAAACATTCTCAGATTCAGTATCTCCATTATATAGTGCAGGTCACTTTGCACTATAGTTCTCATGGGTGTGTGTATGCCATCTAGGTTGTGAGCTCCTCGGGAATAGGGATTATTTCTTATTCATTGGTATTATTTTTCCAGGGTTTTCACAGATCCAAGTAAAGACAGGCAGGAGCCACTGTATCGTTGAGCTGCTTGGGCATGCCACAGTACTCTCCAAGATCTGTGGAATTGAGTTGTACAAGAGTCTGTCAAGTGGGAGCTGGGGATAGTGGGCTCTCTGCAAAGTGTCCATGGTAGAAGCTGGGAAAAAGAAAAGACAGTTGCTCGCTGCCTGTCATTTCTAAATGCCATTGGTATCCACCTAATTTTCTAAGCTAGAAGTTTATAAATCACTTCTTGTTCCTCCTTCTCCACTTGGCTACCCTCCCCCCATCTAATCAGTCATTAAATCCTGTCAGTTCTACTTTTTAATGTCCCTGGAG